TGCATTGTTCCGAAGACCCCAAGACATTGTCTAAACACTTTGTGCAACCATTGTCTAAACACTTTGTGAAACCATACATGTGCATACAGCAAGTGACACAATGTTTAACCTGCGCAAGTAGATTGTGGAGGGGCAACACATTACACGCATTACGCAAAATGTAGAATTGTTGTCAACGTGAGTGCATTTCCCTTTTTCATCTGAAATGCATTGGATATCATTGGATAATACTAGATAAGCATTGATGGCAAGTGATAAGTTCGCCCTAAAGCATGTTGCTTGTCGTCTTGAAGAAATGGGCTCGACTAGAAATCCCAATCCAACGATTATCTCCTCCGAGGTGCTTATTCAGTTCGCACGCAGCCTCTTGATGGCTCATCAGCTTAGGCTCGTGGCAATCACACAGCTTGAAACGGTGAAAACTCACAGAGTCATGCCTGCCCGAGTGCAACATGGTGTGTGAGAAACACACATCCACACTGCAGGACTATGAAAACAACAAGAGCTATCAAGAGCTCTAGACACTACCCTGGTGGACTTCCTAAATGGCCTCGCCTCTTCTTGTCCCACTCCTTCCAATCTGCAGTTCCTCTTCGTGGCTCTGGCCCATACCCTCCACCTTGCATGGTGCACTGGGAAAAGACAAAGGTGCCGACTCAACCACTGACCAGAAAAGGTCCCAATGTCTAATAACCAAGCAGCATGTAAATGATGCCTGTGGTCCATTGCATTTTGTCCAACAATGCCGTTTCTTTCTTTGGCTCAGATTGTATCAGAAAAATCCCGAAGACTTCTTATATCAGTGATCCAAGGCGCAAATGCTCGCATGTTGGTTCACCGAAAAGGCGCAAACCCAATAGGTAGACTCCAGTCGTTGCGCTTCTCGTAGCTTCCTCCTGATGTGGGTGACCCCACTCAAGCTGCAAAGCTCCTCGGCAAGCTCCTCATAGGTCATCCTCTCCAACGCATCCTGCAATGAACACAGGGTGCGGAAAACTCCAAACATGGGCACACACACTCCCGACACCTTGGGTTGACCTCCCAAAAATCTATGAACAAAACAAAAACTACCTGGGTTACCAGGACATAACACCAATTCACCAATTCAAAGCAAGCAAAGCCAAAAATCAGGCAGTCAAACACCAATTCAGGCTACCATCATAGAGTACCTCTTATATATATACACACATATACGAACCTTTTCCGCACCAAAACCTACAGTACCAACAAGCACTGACTGCTGGACACTTTAAATGTCGGTTTTGGTGCACGGCAAGCACAACACTTTGGAAGAAGAACACAGTTGCATAAACTTGAGCCTGCTGATGCCTGGCCTGCCCCTAGTTACGGATTTCCCAAGTTGTGCCAACAATCCAATCATGTTCTGAGTCGGAGCCCATTCCTCGTCCTACACACCAAGCACAAAAGCAACATAATCACTGCCAAGACTCTGCCAGCATTGCTCCCACCAAATGCGCAAAGCTGTTGCTCCAGTGGTGAGTGACCATGTTCTGCGGAAGTACCGGCCGCTCTTCCCAAATCTCTGCCAACGCCCGGCCACCCTCCTCCACGCGAGATGACGGGATGATGGCTTGTCGCACCACGTCGTTGGTCTGGGACCATCGAGGGTCAAAACTGGGCATCACATCACCCTCGAGCAGCTCTTCCCAGAAATTCCTAAGTTTAAAGAGCTTACCAAATCTCCACCGGCACGACAGAATCCTCAGAAAGTACCTGGACTTCCCTTCTCTCATGACAGGGAACAAATGGGAACACTATGCACATGCAGATTGCAATTCACACCTTCCCAGCTCACGGGCTGGCAGAATTGGCCATGGGCCATCACCCATTAAAACACGGGGCTCAAGCAAAATAACGGGTACTATCCAGGCAACACAAAAATAACAGCTTGAGAATGTTGAACCATAGATTCAGCAGTGATTGCAAGTGGAAGCCTCTGTGTGCCAGCTCTTGCACTTTGGTGCAGTACATTGCATGCTGAGAAGCATCCAGAAAGTCCAGCCTCAGTGGGGGACAATCTTTCTAGCAGGCCTGGTACATACCATAATATACTGTATATTATAATACCATGCCCGATCATTGCCCTACATGCCCATGTGACACTTGGAAGTCATGTTGTTACATCTCCTGGGCCTTCAAAGGAAGATTCCTCGCCCTGGCCTGGCCCTGTGGGCGTTCACGGACTCACAGAGGTGGACCTGCCTGTATAGCCCCTGCTCCAAGCAGCATGGAGGCTGTTGCGACTTCGCGTGAGGACTCCAGCTCAGCATTCTCCTTGGGTGGGGATCCTTGCCAAAGGATCCCAGAAAAAAGTGCCAGGTCCACTGTTGCAACCACGACTAGGAAACAACGAAGAGCACTCGCAATGGTCCAGTAGCTCTCTTTGTCTCGCTCATACTCCATGGGATGAAGTATTGCAAAGTACCTGACACAGTCAACTGTGAGAACTGTGGCAAAGACTGCAGTGAATAGCGTTGCGCCAAGAAAAAGCTCCTTCCGTAGGATTTGAGCAGCCCACAGTGCATGTTGCTTGGGGACACCGCTGACACTCTTGCTTTCTAGCATTAACACGTGAATGCCATGGCAACAGGTCCGGCAGGCCATGGTACTGCAGGTCAACCATATTGTGAGGAAAACCGCTTGTGTTATAAGCAAGCCAATGAGTGCCAGCAGCTTGGACACAGCGTGAAAAGACATGCACACTGAACTTAGCATAAAGGAGCCACTCATCACACAAACCCAAAGTCGGGATGTCGATTTGCCCAAGCCAAGCTGTCTGATTCGAGTCTCAAAAAGAATTAGCATCCATCCAATGACCACCCCGTGTACAGCCACCAAAACCGAGACTGTTAGGCTCATTTCGCCAGCTTGACGAGAGTGCCCGAACAAGCCTCCGTCCCCGCAGAATTGGTAGGCAACGGTTGCCAGCAGCCAACAGAACATGCACCATTTTGCATCATTTGTATAAGTTGTGCGGGGGTGGCTTTTGAGGATGCAAAGAATGTAAACAGCTGCCACGATCAACAAAGCGGAAAGCATCATCCACTTGTCGCATTGTGCACGGTGGTCTGGGACAAACCGAGGGAGGTGGTGCCAGGGCCATGAGGCTGCATATAAGGTCGAGGCGCCAATGATTGCACAAAAAATGACCCGGCAGCTGAAGGGCAGGTTTCGCTCCGTGCCTGCTTCAGGAACATGGATGACAACGAGTAGCAATCCCAAGGACAAGCCGAGACTTAAGTTTTCTCCTGGACCATCCTCACCTGCTATGAAACACCATGCGATAAAAAAGACAAGGATTGCACCAACCAGGATGCGCAGGCCACGGCGAACCAACTGCGGTGGAAGCCAACATAACGGGCGACACGACATGGCCGTTCCAACTACATGTATATATATATATAAGTGTTTAAAGACCAGGCTGAGCCGCCATCTGAACATGCTAAAGTATTCTCACTTTTTGTGCTCAACCACAGCATCATTTGAGACATTCCTCCACTCTTTTACGACTGTAAGACCTGAAAAGTGACGCGAATGCACCCTGCCTCACACGAATATGGGCACGGTATGGGCACAGTATCATTCTGGAGATTGTTTTGCTATGTCTTGCTTCTCTTGCACCTCCACCATGTTAAGCATGGCTACTGTAGACCCACCAAATGTGCAACACGGCAACACGTATCCAAAAGTCCTTAGGGGACCACTAATGACCAAACAAAAATCATAAGATCTCATGAGTGATGAACCACGAGACAGTGTTGGACTCTTGCACTGCTCGCATGTGAGCCACCTATCCATGATCATCCATGCATCCTTCACAATCACTATGCATGAAGCGCGCCCACCAACTTTTGATCAATGCCATGTTGAATCATTTTTATTACTGCCGCTCAGTGTTGATCACTCCATGTTCCCCCTTTCAAAGTGAAAACACATGAATGACTACCCCACGCATGAACTGTACAATCTATAACCTGAGGGCACCCCAATCCTCTGGAGAAGTGGCCTTCCCAACCTCCAGAATACATGAACATATATGAACATATAGTTCTCTCATGAGCAAGTAAATGCTGAATACCATTGAATACCCCATCCAGTGAACACTTCTCTTCCCAAAATTCAATACCAACCATTTGCCACCGCAAATCACATATCTCAGCTGCACACGTTGGATGCTGCATGCGCTGGTTCCCTCAAATCTCTGTGTAGTGGCGGGCTCTAGGTTGGAAGTGGGAGCATCTCAAAGCAATGGATGAAAGGTGTGGACTTGGAAATTCAGAACCCTGTCACCTTGTCAACCCCAAACGCTTCAGGGCCGTTGAACTCCGTTGAGCTGCCATTTCCGGTTCCTTTGTATACTGGCTTCTGGTTGCTTGCCATGTAATTATCTAGCATAAAGCTGCCGCACCTATTTTTCGGAGCGGATCTGCATTAGTCCATTAAATTCGTTCTCACATGACAACACTCAGACCCTGAACTTTCTTCAGAACCAGATGCAGCATCGGAGTCGCTGTCTGAATCACAAAGTTGCTCACTATCATACTCACTTAGAATCATCGACATTTTCCGACAGGCCGACCTTCGCAAGATTCGGCCAACGACTCGTGAACGCTCCGT